CTTTCCCCTGAGATCACAGAAAAAGGCATGAATTCCCTGAGATGCACTGGATTCCGAGGGGATGCCAGAAAGAGCAACTGAGGTCATAAAAATCAGAATGGAAAAACAACATGTAGGTTATAAAGTCATCCTGCATTGCCAGTGCAGGACTGTTTCCATTGATCTCACCTCTAGGGTCCTGTCTCATTTTGTTAAGTGGTTTAAATGATGTATTTCACCTTGCTAGGCACCCTGAAAGCTATCATTTCAGAATGCTTCCCATCCTATGAGCTGTGTTTCTGTCTACTGCTGTTCTTCTGAACAAAACATTGTCATTTGGTTCTGCCAGAACAGTTGTTAAATCAGAGATTTCACCTTTTGAATGCAAGTGGCAGCATCATCTGGATTTGGACCCATCTGGACCTGAAGTTTAGTTTGTCCTTCTCTCTTCTCTTCAAGGTAAATTTGCTTCATGAATGCTGCTCGACAACGGCCTTGGCGAGCCCGTTCTGCAACCTGGATCATCTTAATGGCTTCTTCGAATGTCATGGCCTTGACAGGTTTCTTCAACAGCACAGCCAAAAAGGAATGGACAAAGCAAAGTATTAGAGTTACGTGTTTTGTTAATGGCTTACCTCAGTTGGCAAATGAAACAACCAATGAAAAACTTGTGGAAACTTTCTAAGTCAAAAAATCCCTGTCACAAACAGCAGAGACTCCTGTCTCAGGGAAATCTTGCAATATCTTGGAAGTTTTTAATATCTTGGAAGATGTGTTTTTCTGAGGACCTTTAGGAGAATGTAAACCTGACGTGTTGATGTGTGACAGGGAAAGCCTGATGCTATAGCGGGAAGCAAGAACGGTTCTATATGGCTTATGCAACCTGCTGACCTTTATCCATTTGAGAAAAAAAGACATAAAGAACCACAGGGCTTTGTCCTATTAAAAGGAGAATTTCTTAGGATATGGAATGTCTTCCTTCTACTTTTCTGAAGGGATGGGTTTCTGGATGTGCTGCTGGGACCCCAGCTCTCTTGCTGAATAGCAGAACAGGCTGTTCTGAGCCAGACCAGGCCTGGTCAGCCCAGCCCAAATAGAAAAGGCTTGGGGAAAAACATATCAGAACAGTGCAGCTGGAGAGAGGGACTCCCCCTTCTCACTCCTGAGAACTCTTGTTAACCCCTCATGCTCCCCAGGGAAAAGCTGAATTATTGTCCTTTCTTGACGTTAATCCCCCTGTTGGAGACAGTTCACATTTGACGCTGCTATATATATTGTGTGGAGCTCACTATACTACATTTTCAGCAGGGCTTTCTATAACAGAATTACATAGAAGGACAAATGATCTGCAGAGCAGACTCCTCTGATCAACTCCACTGTTTTTGATGTATGTTAGACTGCTTGTAACAGTCTGCTGCCATGGACACTGAAGAATACAGTGGTCTGTTACACAACATTTAAGATTTCCTCAGCGTACATGGCATGCAGAAGTGCTGACAACCCTCTAGCAATCCCAGCGGTGATTGAACTGGAAGTGCAGCACTAGGGCACTGGAGTCGTACTCTGTGAGATTATTTAATTCATGTTTATCGAATCCTGTGCCTCTCTTGTGGCATCCTGGCAAGGGAGACCTGGCCCCTGCCAGTGTCGAAAGTGCAAGAGCCTGGTGCTCCCAAGTGAGCTGGCTGCACACCAGAGAGTCTAATCTGTAATGGATGCCACGCTGAAAAGCAGCAAGAGCAAAACTGTGGGAAACAAAAAGGCTTCAAGATGTAATGTGCCGAAACAGAGGATCTCCACAGATCAACATCAGACCACTAGAAGAGCAGAGAATTTGCCCGGAGATTTACTGTGGAGGCCAAGAGGACTGCAGCTGCCCATTAAAGTAATCTAGTAGAGAGCCTGCGCTTTGTCTCTGCGGCTTGCCTCTGTCTGACTGGTACTGTTTCTTTCCCTGGGAACCTTCCCTCCATTGCTTTCTGAGATCAATACGCCCGCTTCCCCCACCAGCACCATTACTGGTGGAGAATTCAACGGTTGGGGCAGTGCAGCAGTTTGACTAAGTGGTCTGATCAGGACTGTCTTATGGCTATAACATCTATGAATCTACGTCATCCAGATATGTAGGCACAGTTGTTTATTTCAGGAGGTTAGCAACGACTGCTTGTAGGCAATGTGCCATTTCGAAAAGGTCAAAAGTATATCAAATCCAGAACAGTCTTTACTGGAGTGCTCATGTACTTCTCTGTAATGACTTTTGCTCTGCCAAAACTCAATTTTCTACTCCTCCTAGCAGCTGCAGCTCTATAGCTGTACAGAAGAGACTGCAGTCATTGTTCAGAGGTTATAAACAACTGAATACCAACAGTTGTGCTGACCTGGACTCTGAGTTTTGCCCATTCCAGTTAGGAATCCTGGTTCAGTAAAACTTAAGCCCAACTTGATTTCAGTAGGACTAATCACGTGATGAGAGTTAGCTGGACAAATAAAGCACCTACTAAACTTGGCTAAAGTGCTGCCCTTTCCCTGACACTCTCACACACATAAAGCAGAGTCGATTCATTTCAGTCTTAACCACTCTCAAGATGTGACTGGATGTTGTTAGATGGGAAAATTTAAAGTTACTTTCTATCTGTGCCTTATCTGTAAACAGACTTTTACTTCCTAACTGCTATAAAAGTACTTTTCACTTCAGTGGCTCATGTGTTCAGATGCGTGTGTCTATGAACTAAAAAAGTTCAGCATGTTATTATGTAGGCATGTGGTATGCTTACCTGTGTCTGCAATCCAGCATTAAGCAAAATCTGATCAAGGATTTTCTCCCTCTGCTGCAGGACTTCCAGCTTTTCCTTAACGAAATACCTTGGGATAGGTACTTCTATGTCTTCCTAGAGGAAGAAATAGTCATGAGATGCTTTTTAGAACTGCATTAAAATAACATTACTTATTAATTGAACACCTTTACAAAGCAATTAAATTGGACTGAGATTGTTGAATATTTTGGAGTGTTGGGGAATTTGACCTCTGTAACAGCTGCTGAGCTGTTACTTTGCAATTACTTAAGGCTTAATTCAACAAAAACAAATAAATCAACCCAGTTTCTGAACTACGGCAGCCCAGAAATCTTTCTTTTTATAATGGCTCAATTATATTATCAAACTGTTAAAATATTTGGCAGGGTTGCTAGAAATTTAAACATGATTTCCACTGAATTGAATACCTCTGGTTGTATGATCATCCCACTTCTTCCCCCCCCCGCTTTTTCCCCATCAACATGAAAAATAGGTCTGTTCTCTTGGATTTTTTTTTTTTAACCATTACAAGGAACCAAAGTACAATTCGGTTCATCTACCGGTATTTCTACCTGTAGACAAACTGTCACTGACTATCACTGTAATATCTCAGTCACTTCTCAAAATCAGGTGTGATTAGAAATGGCTGTCTTTACTTGTTTCTATCATTAAAAAGATGTAACTGATTCACATTTCTACCGATTCTTCTCCTGTAGAATTTCACTCTTCTTGAGAAATGAAAAAACAAAGACACAGACAGGCAGACAAAAAAACACCCCAAAAGTTAAGATGCTGAGGAGTGGCATGATCTGTTCTCTGTATCGTGTTGAAGACTAGAGACGATTCTTCAAGAATAACTACTGGCAAGTATATTTCTTTGGGGGGTGGAATGTGTCTTCTAGATGTTCCAAGAACATCTAGAATATTTCCTCAAGTGAATGATTCACCCGGAGGGATGGGGGAGACAGGCAGTACAGTTACCCTGTTGTGCTACTCGTGAGGAGTTGCGCAGTCAAGTTACACAATAATTTGTCCCCAGGTATATGTGGGCACTTGGTCCTTTTGCCCAAGGAGCCTAAGACAGGTACAAGACTTGGTGCTGGGCTATCAGTGCTCTCTGTTTTGTCTGACATGGAAGCTTGTTGGGTTTTGACCTGCTCAGGAAGACCTTTGACTTGACCTTTGCAGCCTCAGTGCCACCTCTGATGTGGACAGATACAGAGGAGAAAAGGTGCTGGCTGTAAAGAACAAGCGTCGCTCCTGCCTTGACACAGGTGCATGGCAAATGTGCTGCTTGTGAGCTCTAAGGCCTTCCAATTCCTAGAGCAAGAATTTGCAGGGAAGGCTGTGGCCAATGAAAACAGCCCCTGTGAACTGCAAACTTAAAGATTTCATTACTAATTCCCTCGGCTGCAGGCTGTGCAGACCGGGACATCCCTATTATGGCAGCATAAGAAAGCTTCCAAGTAGGACTGTGTTTATCCCTATTGATTTTATCAATGCAGAGGTCTGGTCTGCTAAAGTTTCTAAATATTTGTCTTGCTAAGCTCCCTGTTTGCACCTTCTAACATCCTTGACTGCTGATGGAAATGATTATACGTTGTACTTTAAGAGTGCAAATCGCTGTAGGATGGATTACAAATCTGGCTGTCTTTAGGTATAAGAAATTAAGTGGTTTGTCTGGATACCCTCGCATAGGATGAGAGGGCTTTTACGCTGTCAGGTAGCAGGGCAAGTCGGTCAGTGTAGGGGTGATGAGTATCTCTACTGTGATGTCTAACCTGGGCTTTAATTACAAGTGATTCTGGACTGTGACTTTCACTGACTGTAAAGATGAGACCAAAGCCATAATACTGGGGCTGGAAGGGGTGGGGAGTAGGGAGACTACTTCTCTTCATAATCTCTTTTTGGGGCCCGGCATTGAAAAGTTAGGTTTGTGATATTTACCCTCAAGTCAAATTTGCAGCCTTTTAGCCACTCCGGCTCTGCACGGGATTTGTGTATCCAAATACCTTTACAATTACCCCAGGAAATGGAGTGACTGAGTGTTGGAAGGCAACCGTACAAAAACATGAGGCACAGAACTAAAGAAAGATGAAGCTTGGCCTTACAGTGACATAGCAAAAAGTATGCAGTATCATTGCATAAGGTATAAAATGAGACTGCTCTGTTGTGTTCTCTGCCTACAGTCATGCTGGATTTTAGCCCGTGATAATACAGTGAAAGGAAGGATTCGAGATATCCTTTCTGGGCAGATTCTTTAAGAAACAGCAGTTATTTGTTGAGTACTGGCCAGTAATTTTGTTTTGGAAGCAAAAATATGTGATTATTTTATTAAAAACCCCGTAAATCTGTATTTCTATTTACTATGGAAAATAATGTTTTCTCTGAAAAAGCCTGAAATCTCTTCAGTGCTTTTTTTTTTTAGTAGGTAGGTATGTCATGCCTTCTTAAAATTAAGGTGTGGTGCAGGAATTTGAATTTATGCTTGTTTTTTAATAGATGTCAAGCATGACTTTTCAGACTTGCCAACTTTTTGCCGCAGGTGGTTTTACTGATAAGTCATGAAAACAGCAGTGCTTAATGATTTCGAAGTATGATTTGAGGGATCAGTTTCCCCAGAGGTGTGTTTACGCTCTCCAGTATGCCTTCTTATAATTTAAAATAGTTCTCTGCTACGACTAACGTACAAGATAAAGAGCTGGTGAAAATTCATGGCAATTACTACCCTAAATTTGCAGAGTAGAATACACATGGAATTGCAAAAAGCAACATGTTTGCAAATCAAAATAACGCTATAATGATATTAGGCAATTTAGCTGAAGTTATAACTAGGATTCTGAAAAAAGCAGTAATTTAAGCTCCAACTCCTTTTCTTTAGAAAAGCTGTTAGCAGCGGTACCTGAATTTGACAATAGGTGGAGCTGTCTGCGAGAGAAGTAACCAGCTTTTTGCAGTTAATTTTTCATACTGCTTTTAGAGCACAGATTCAAGACTTTGCCTTATTGTTGTATTCATCTGGTTTAGCGGGCTGCCTGTCGGGGGCTGCTTTTACATTAGGCAATCCTGAATCCCAGACGCTGAATATGCTCCCAACTCCTGCCTCCTTTACAGTAAGAGACTTGTCTCAGACTTCTCACTTTAGTAGTTCGTTGTACTATGGACTAGTAGACCAGACCATGCAATTTTTGGCATAACCTGTAATCTCTGGAAGGGGCCTGAGGCCAGGCTGATTCACAGTGATGCAAAGGGCAGACTGAAGTGGACTGTACCTTGGTTATCAGTTGGCCATCTTCTATCTAATCCCACACTAAAATCGGGCAGAGTCAAGCTGCTGACATTAATAGTGAAGCTGTCTAAGCTAATATGACTTCGTGTTAGGACATGTGCAAGTGAAAGATCCACAGAGCCTGTGCTGGTATGGAGAAGCAAAAATGCAACATATTGATCAAGTAGATCAGCTTTTAAAATCTTGCTCCAATATATAATGCTCATCATAGATCAAATATACGCTGATCTTTAATAAAAATGCCATAATTACCGATCACCCAGTACACTACCAAACATGCAGGAAGCTAAATCATTTGGTGGAACTTCACAGACTGCAAGTAAATGTGACTGTCCTTAAAATACAGGATAGGCAAAGTTCCTATGAATTTACTCATGATAGAGGTAGACCTACCGGGAGCAGCTTTAAATCTTCCAGGATATTATCAATGTAATGAAACTCCGAGTTCTCCAGCTCCACCATCTCTTTTTTCATCTCCAGGATTCGGCCAATCACGCCATCTAGCTCTTGCCGAATCACTGTCCGTTTCTGCCGGTGAACGAGTTGGTCATGGGCCGTCTCCAAGTTACGGAAGATTTGCATGTATTTGATGTAGGAAGCAGCTAACAACTTGAATACTTTCACGCGGTCCTTCTCTGGCTCGAGGAACTCTTCTCTTTCTCTCTGGAGCTGGATGTCGAGGTCTTTCTGGGCATCTGTCCACATCTTATTGTAAGTGCTAATTGAAAAGAAGAGACTATGTTAACCCGATGTGAAAGCAAGAGTTAGCACACAGTGATGCCAGGGCTCTGTGTGTATGGATTTCTTAAAAAAGCAAGCCTGGAAAAGTGAGCCATTACATTTATAAAGAGATTTTAACTACAATGTATTTTAAAAACTATTAGCAAAAGTTTCTCTTTTTGATTGTTTTAAAAATAGGAATCTTAGAACATTGTTTTATTAACGAAAGCTTAAAAGCTAAAAACTTTTTCAACCTAATCCTTAACATGCTTGAAGCATCCTTCAAACGCTTGAAGCTACAACCCCCAATAGTGCCATGAGTTTCATTCAATTGTGCTAATTGAGAAGATGGTTTAACAGAAAAGGTGTCTCCCCCCAAAGCCCTTATGATGGGCGGAGGTCTGTTCTAGGTCTCTCCATGTTTGGGATAAGGACCAATTGATGTTTCTAAAGCGCGTGTTGCTTTTCTGCCTTTCTGAAGTGGTTGCTCAGAACCAATTGTAGGGTAAGGGCTGTATTGGTGCCGATGCTAAAGCGTAGCTGTGGGCGCTATTTCAGACGTGAAGTGAGGAAAATAATTTATTTCTACGGTAGCAACTGTTGCACTCCAAGCAATTGCTAAACGTCTGGTCCAGTGTCTAGAGAACTATGTGATATGGAAGATGTCGCCTAAGGGCAGCTTTATTTCCAGAAGTGATAATGCTGTTTACTTGGTAGTTTTGGTGGGAATAGGTAGAGCTCTCATGTGAGCATGGGCTGGTTGTCAGTGGCTTTTCATGGTAAATGCAGATCAGCACAGAATATTGTGGGAGGTCATCTTAAAGGAGCAAGAAATGGACTCTGGGCAATGAGGCTTTTATTCAGAGAAGAGCTCAAGAAGCAGGTTTGTCACTGAAAGGTGCTAACATCCGTGGTAGTGAAAGACCCTTTTGGGTCTATTTTGTAACCTCTCTTTGCCAGGTGGAGACTGTCTCTTGGGAGTGACAGGCTTCAAAAAAAACCTTACATCTTTGAAAATGCTTCTCTACCAGCAGAGCTAAGAAATTTCTTTTGCACTGAGAGTCGGTTATGCTGGGAGAAAAACAGCTTCTTGATTCACGTTGCCAGGTTTGCAGGAGGAGGGGAAAACAGTCAGCTAAGGTAACAGGGAAAGCTGACTTTTGTTTCTTAGACCTAGAGATAAAGGCCATTGGCCTCAATGGTGCAATCTAGACCCATCCATGTGCTTATTAACCTAGCTATTGCTTGCTGTTCCTAGAGCCTCTCAAAGAAGGATGAAGACGGCAAAAGGCCCTGCCTCCATTAGATGAGCTTTCAGAGCAGACCTCTTGCTAGTCTGAGCAGCATTGAGGGAGCGCTTGTGCATTAATTCTAACAAGAAAGCTGGGTGGCTGTTAACATTGCTTGTGCTTGATTAATAAATGCCTAAGTTGGAGCTCTGTCAGCTGATCTTATCATTCCCAATCTCAGAGTACAGAATGACCTGAGGCTTGTGCTGCAAGAGGGACCGGTGGGGTGGACAGGACGAGCTCCAGCCCACGAGTGCCCCGAGCGTGGGGTGTGTGCTGCACATCCAGGATGCTGACGGGGCTGCTGGGGCTCCCTGCCGCAGTCAGCAAAAACACCAACAATCTGAACCCTGCTATTGAATTTGCACCATTAACTTTTTAAAGTGCATATTATACTTTTCAGCTGACCTGGGTTTCTGCAGGATGCAGCTGGTCTTGCTTTTCCTAATGCCTCTGCAGCCCACCCAGGTCTTTCCCCTTCCTTTTTTCCAACTTCATTGACATCCCATTGCACCACCCGAATCACTCAATTGCAGCAATTAACCCAGGTGCAGGAGATAAAATAAAACCAGCAGAGTGGATGAGATTGGCACAAACAAGACCAGCACTAGCTTTGACCCAGTAGCTCTGCCGGTTGATCAATGGGAGTTTTGTACGCTTCCTCAGAAGTCAGGACACGGAAGGACGTATACGGGTGTGAGGTTGACGGGGTTTTCCAGCACAGAAGGAAACAACGTGGTATTGTACTTACTTAGCTGTGCCTACTCACAGACCATTTGATATTGGGGAGGTTATAAATCTTTGAGAAAGCCTGGCCCTGTAGGTTGTCCCCACAACCACACCGCTGATTTATGAACAGTGGGTATCCTCGGGCTAGAGCGTTTCGAATGCAGGTTATTGCATGCAGACAACAGATTGTACCGCAACGAGAACCGACTCCACGATTGTCCACTCCAATTTACAATAATCTCCCTTTCTGCCTCCTCTGACTGAGGAATGTCAAGTGGTTCCTCCTGCTGAGCCAGCTAATATCCAGTTTCTTTTTAGATTTTGGATGACTTTTTGAGGGAGGAGGGGGACGGAGTGCTCTAGCCCTTCAGAGTACGTTAACATAAAGCAATATAGATGGAACATAATTGCTTCCATAAAGCATTAATTTATCAGATAAGCATTAAGATGATTGCAAGCATGTTGCTGTGGGTCAGATGTTAAGAGTATGGATATTATGGTATGTTTGTAGCTTTTGCAGCAGTGATGTTGTGTGTAAAGGAGGGCAAAAGGAAGGGACAGGCCCACTGGAAAATGAAGTATTGAAGGAAAAGATTGACGTGGAACTGCTAAATTTTCAGCTGTGATAAGCTGATAGCTCCTGTGTATCTGCCGCGGTCAGGGTGACTGACACCTTGGGGGGACCTGCCCTAGTGCTTCAGTTCATTAGGCACGTGATGGGGAACAGCAGATACTTGATAATTGGACATTGCAAGCAGAAATGTGATTTGAGTGTTTCTTTGGTTCTCCCTGATTAAAAACTAGAGGACACATGCACAGCCATTTGTTTCCCCTCCCCAAAACAGGATTAAAATAATTATTTCAGGTTTTACTAGTGTCCAAATGGGAGCCCTTCTGGACTAGTCTGAAGGATCAGATGTGCGTGGTGTTCAGAGCCCTTTCTGGGGCACTTGGCAGAGCTGCTGTGTTCCTGAGGAGCCCTTCAGCTGTGGTGACAAACATGTTCAAGGGTAGTCAGAAGGAGTAATGCACGTCCTCAAGGTTATGCATTAAAAGCAAAGGGCAGGACTGACTCTCCTTGCAGCATGAGACCCCTAAAGCACTATTTGAATTTTTGCCTATTTGTTCAGTCTCTCTCTGCATTAGGTTGTAAACTCCCTCAAAATTGCTTCCACGCACTGAAGGGGGAGTACAACGCAGCCTTGAGGGTGCTGGCTTTTTATTTACTGTTACTGGTTCATCTCGTAGGTTTGTTCCTGATCTGTAATGGGTAGGTTGTGAGCTGTGTCCATGCCTGAGGATGATATTGCATCAGAATTAGATTGGATTAGAGCATCTAACTAGCCTACTAGTGTAGGTAACCAGCAAGACTGAGCATAATTTTCCTACTCAAGGCATAAGATTATTAAATCCTGGAAAAGAAAGAAGTCTGTCTCTTGATCTCTGCATGTGTATAGCAGTGTAAGTAACGCTGCAAATTGTCGTAGCAACTACAAAATAGGAGTATTATGGGGAAAATAAGCAACCCTGTAATGGGATGAAGAAAAAACCACGTAAAGTGACTTAACTCCAGAGCCCCCAGAGTGCTTTCTGGCAGCTTACAGCTTGGAGAGAAGGTCAAGGCTTTACCTCCTAACCGATGTCCCTTCTCTTCTTTTCACTCCCACAAAGTAGAAACTGAGTCTAAAATAAGGGCTTAAGACGACTCTTTTGCCATAGCGTGATTTCTAGTTTGAATTTCACTTTTATTGCTCAAAATAAAGCCTGATCTGCTTATTTAGAGTGAAGCTTAAAAATATATTTTTTTGCTCAATTTACAAAGAGATGTTTAAAATCCTGCCAAATTATGCATCGCCACACTTTAATATTCCAGGGCCCTCCAACTCTGCACATTTGCTTGATCCATCTCTTGTTACACTTAAAAAAATCTGTCGGTTTTGAGTGCAGCTAAGGTTAGCTTGCTTACTTGTGTTGAATTGGTTTTGAGATTTAAGCATGCCCTTCTTGGAAGGATTTGTGCTGAGCGTGCAAACTGTCCCTCAGACCACTCTTGAGCCAGTAGTGGAATCTGGCATCCGTGGAGTTACCTTTGTGTGTATGGTTTTTCTTTTTTCCCCCAAAGTGTCTTGGTGTTTTTACTTAGCTGCCAAAGGGAACACTATTTCTGTTATTCCAGGACATGGCACAGTTTGCACTCCAAGCTGTGTCTGTCTCTGGATTTGTATAGGGGCTGAACCTGTTGATGCCTGGTTTTTCTGGGCTGTCTGTCCTCTGAGGACAGAAATATCTCACACTTTCACATGCCAACCATGTAAATGCAGTGTAGTACTGCATGGCCCTACTGGTTTTTCTGATGGATGGGCTCGTGTAAAGAGATGGCAGGGAAAACATTTGACTCTGACTTGACCCAGCTCTCTTCACCTAATACGGAAACTCCTGTTTGATTAAATGAGCGCTAAATCATGTGTGGTTCAAAACATTTCTGAAGCACCTATGCTGCCACTGCAAACTACCTGCATTTCTTTCTCAGAAGATGAGACTGCGCTGTGTTGGGCCATCTAACAGGGAATGGAGAAGGCACCGGCAGGGCTTGTGAGAGCAAGGGGGTGTGGAGCTGGGCTGCAGCAGGGACCTGTGTGATGGAGCAGGGCTCCTTCGGGCACAAGGAGCCCAGCACGTATTTACCACAGCGCAGATCAAGCCAACAGTCACGGAGCAGCCGAGAGGAGACTGAGACATGGGTCTAGCGACAAGGAAGTGCGTGCAGGGGCCAGTCCTCAGGGCCTCCTCTAGATACTTGGGGCTTGACAGGTCAGCCATTGTGCTAAGCCCTGGGCCAACACGGGGGAGGGAAACCCTGCCCTGCAGCCTCTGCAAAATAAAGAAACAGGAGACAAAGGTTGGGAGGGGAAAGTGAGGCCCCGAGAGGAAAAGGAGCTTGCACAAATGCTGCGGCTTTTCTTTTTT